GGGGCGCTATCCACGCCTGGGCCGGACAAAGCCGGTTCCTCGCTCTAAGCGGCATAAGTCTTTAGGGACTCGAAAAAACCTCTCGAACAGCGACCGGCTCTCGCCTCATCATGACGGTCAGTTTTAGCTTTCTCCACTGAGGCGCTCGCCCAGCTCAACTGGGGCGCAATCGCAGTGGTTCTACCAGTGCTACCTTAGCCGATACAATGGAACATAAGGTACCAAAACATGGGAGCCGGGCAAACCCAACTATTGACCCAAAACATGATTCGGAGCCGATGCATATAATGCTATAAGTTCGGGGTGCCGCACTTGTGAAAGTGTTCGGACTTATCGCACCATGATGCGGAAAACATAAGCCCCTGGTGTATTTAGCCGTACCAAAGTGTACGGATGCAACATGTCATAAATGAACATATGTATAAGAAAGGAATGCAATTGTAAGCAAAAAGGTGCATTGTTTATTCAAGAAATACTGCTGTGAATGCAGAACGATACAAATGGTGCGATAAGCAAGGCATGAGACTATTAAACATGTCCCCCTCCAGGGGTAGGCTGCGGAATGGTGTATAAAACAGATTTAATGCTCATAATGGAGACCACCTGGATATTCGTCGTAGCCTTTCTCCTTCCCTGGCTGTTGCATCGTGAGTTCGGCAGGTCTATTGCCGGACAGGGCCTCTGATGAACGGGGCCCTGTGGGTAAAAAAGGGAATGAAAAAGAACGACACACTTGAGAGCCCCTGGTGTGGTTAAGCCGTATTCTGGGCCTATCGTGGTCGTGCCCCTCCCCCTATGCCCATGGTATCTTCAGAGCGTAATGATGTACACGAAGGACCCGTCTTGAAATTTTGTAGGGGCTGGGATTGAGGCCGCATTTCTACGCATGCTCAGAACGTGCCAGGTGGTCTTGTTGTAGGTTACTCCGGGCGCGTTTAGCCGTGTCCGGTCGCTTAACGGCCGGATTCGAGAATTGCTTTAAGAGGCTGCACTGTACTTCTGCCGCGAGAGCCGCTGTATGTTCCTCCGTTCGGAGAGAGCGTTCAGTATTTCCGTTGACCGTGATGACTCCTCGAGGGCCTGGCATCTTGAGCTTAAGGTATGCGTAGTGCGGTACCGCATTGAAATTTGCAAACGCGGTGCGTCCGAGCAGAGCATGATAGCCGCTGCGGAACGAAACTATGTCGAAAATTAACTCTTCACTTCGGAAGTTATCCAGGGATCCGAATACCACTTCCAGTGTAACTGAGCCTATACAATTGGACTCTACACCTGGTATGACGCCTTTAAAGGTCGTCTTTGTAGGTTTAATCCTTGAGGAGTCTATGCCCATTTTGCGCACTGTATCCTGATAAAGCAGGTTCAGGCTGCTGCCGCCATCCATCAAGACTCTGGCGAGGTGAAATCCATCAACGATTGGGTCTAAAACCAATGCGGCAAATCCGCCATGGCGGATGCTGATGGGGTGGTCCCTTCGGTCAAAAGTGATTGGGCAGGAGGACCATGGATTAAACTTTGGGGCAACTGGCTCCATCGTGTATACATCCCTGAGTGCACGCTTCCGCTCCCTTTTGGGTATGTGGGTTGCGTATATCATGTTCACCGTCCGCACTTGTGGGGGGAAACCCTTCTGTCCTCTATTGTTCGGCGGTCGGGTCTCTTCCTCGTCATCGCTATGCAGCCCCTTGTCGTTGTTTTCGGCAATTAACTTGCCTGCCTGGTTGAATACCCAATAGTCCATGTTGGTGTGGTTAGCTGGCTTTTCGGGTGCCGTGTATCTGGCATGAGCTGTCGAGTATTCGGTCCAAATTGGACGGACCCGGAGTAATTCTTTTGAATGGCTTTTTCCGTTGACCGGGTTTAGAGCCTTTGAATCCGGCATTGACTGCCGTATCCTCACTATTGTCACCGTTAATGCGGCGTTTGTTTTTGTTGCGACGCGGCCTGCCACTGCGGTCCTTGATATCCGGACTGCCAGAATTTTTACTGAGGTTGTTGCTGCGTGCTAGCCAGCTGTCCTCACCCGCGCAGAAGCGGGTCATGAGTGATGTGAGGGCTGCCATCGATTTCGGCTTTTCCTGTCCCAGGTGTCGGGCAAGCCACTCGTCGCGGATGTTATGTTTGAAAGCCGCGAGGGCCTCCGCATCCGGGCAATCGACGATTTGATTTTTCTTGGTTAAGAACCGTGTCCAGAATTGTCAGGCCGATTCGTCTGACTGCTGAATTATATGGCTTAGGTCGTCAGCGTCTGGTGGTGGCACGTATGTGCCTTGGAAGTTATCGAGGAATGCGGCTTCCAGGTCTTCCCAACTCCCAATTGACTCTGCTGGCAAGCTGTTAAGCCAATGCCGGGCTGGTCCTTTAAGCTTGAGTGGGAGATATTTGATGGCGTGGAGATCATCACCGCGGGCCATGTGGATATGAAGGAGATAGTCCTCGATCCAAACCGCGGGGTCTGTTGTGCCATCATAAGATTCAATGTTCACGGGTTTAAACCCTTCGGGGATTTGATGATCCATTACTTCATCTATGAAGCATAGTGGGTGTGCGGAGCCTCTGTATTGGGCGATAGCATGACGGAGTTCAAAAGAGCTTTGTATATTTTGTTCGGCCCGGCCGGACTTACTGTGTCCGGCGCGATGGTTGTCGTCGCATATCATGGGGCGCCCACGCGATCCATAGATCGATCTTGATTGTCTTGCCTTATCCTCCAATATATCTCGCAAGTCCGGAGCATTCCCCTGTGGCCTTGTGCTTTTCGAGCGATGCCGGGGTACGGTTCTGGTGGAGGTCCTAGAGGCCTCTCTGTCGTGGTCATGGGTGGTCGGTCAGCCGTATTGTCTGCTGGTGATGCAGGTTCATATGACTCCTCCTCTAATCGGGGGAGCAGCTTGCGTTTAGGGTAGCTTTTGGAGGGGCGGTCGAGCTCATGCTCTTCGGCCGCAAGGACTTCAGTCCATCTGTCGGCTAGCAGATCTTGATCGGCTCTAAGCTGCTGCTGCTTTTTCCTGAGGCTGTTTGCCGTGGCCATAAGCCTGTGTTTAAAACGCTCTTGTTTGATGGGATCCTCGGGCACGACGAATTCGTCGTCGTCGAGGCTTGCCTCGTCTCCGGAGGGAGGCATGTAATCCTCTACTTCTTGCTGTGGCGGGATTTAGAGCGGCGCCGCTGACGCCGGCGCTTGGGCTGTTTCTTGGAGGGGTGATCCTCCGCTGTTCCTTCGCCATTCCCATCCTTTGGGATATCCACCATGTATATGTCATATGATGAGGTGGCTTTCCAGTGCCCAGTAGGCGCTGGTTCTTGGTCGTCTCCGGCATCGTCGTCCATACCGTCGATGTCTTCGGAGTCAAAGTCTAGCATGTCGGTTAGATCGTCGACAGTGGCTACTAAGTGGGTGGTGGGTAGGCTTTGAATTTCTTTGTCGTCTGCATCCCAACCGTCCTGACCGCAGTCCGGCCAGGGCTCTCCTGATAACGAAAGATACTTTAGCGAACTCAAGATGTCGCCGAAAGGTGAGTGTTGAAAGATGTCCACAGCGGTGAACTCCATGACCGGCGCCCAATCGGATTCGATTGGAGGGGGCGCGGGAGGTTCGGAGTTCGGCGAGGAGTCCGGCACCTCGGAGTCACGAGCTTCATGAGGGACAAGGTCAGTGTTCGGCTCTATCGCCGTAGAGGTTGCAGCCCCCGAGGCGGTGTCTAGCCACCCGTCCTCGATCTGCGCGGCCGTCTCCGAATTGAAGATCGGAGCGGACTCGTGTGCGGCCTCCAGGTTACTGTCCGGCTACAGAGCTAAGTCATGCCCGTCGTGACAGTGCGGCGCGCTCGGCTGTGGCTCGAATCCATCGAAGATCAAGTCCCCGCGGATGTCAGCCATGAAGTTCAAACTTCCAAATCTGACCTGACGGCCAGGGGCATAGCTTTCGATCTGCTCCAGATGGCCAAGCGAATTGGCCCGCAGTGCAAAGCCACCAAATACGAAGATCTGTCCGGGGAGGAAGGTCTCACCCTGGACTGCGTCGTTGTTGATGATCGAAGAAGCCATCGAGCCTATAGGTGACGACACAGAGGAACTCTCAATGAAAGCACCAATGTCGGTGTCAAAACCGACGGATCTCGGGTAGGGGGTCCCGAACTGTGCGTCTAGGCGGATGGTAACAGGGGACAAGGGACACGATGTTTTACCCAGGTTCGGGCCCTCTTGATGGAGGTAAAACCCTACGTCCTGCTTGATTGATATTGATGATGTGTGTATTACAAGAGTAGATCTACCACGAGATCAAGGAGGCTAAACCCTAGAAGCTAGCCTATGGTATGATTGTTGTTCGTCCTACGGACTAAAGCCATCCGGTTTATATAGACACCAGAGAGGGCTAGGGTTACACAGAGTCGGTTACAATGGTAGGAGATCTACATATCCATATCGCCAAGCTTGCCTTCCACGTCAAGGAAAGTCCCATCCGGACACGGGACGAAGTCTTCAATCTTGTATCTTCATAGTCTTGGAGTCCGGCCGATGATGATAGTTCGGCTATCCGGACACCCCCTAGTCCAGGACTCCCTCAATGTCCATACAAAAACGAAATACAAATGATGTTGTGCACCCACGTTACCGTCCACATGTTTTGAGCACAAACTTTGTTTTTTTATACATATTTCCTTAGATCTTGCAAGCACCTAAAACATTTGCTCATAATCACATCCACAAAGTTTCAGATTCTTTTCAGATGTTTTGCTAAATTTTTGATCGTGGGTGCACCAGGGGTACAATGTGCGTGGGTGTAGAACAGACACACCCGGGAAGGGAAATATGATCAAGGGCATGGGAAAACCAGCGGATTCTTTACTCCAACTAGCGTGGAAGCGTTCTTTTATATCTATTGGGGTACATAATCTCACATTTGAAGCAACATTTATACTTCCACATCATATAATGTTTATAGTGTTGTTAATACTAGTACAATGAGATAGATTAATAACATGATACAAGGAAAACCACTATCTAGGAATTGTGGCAGATATGGTTATATCATTAATACTGCACGACTCGGGAGCATTGGAAGTCTCTTCATTTCCCACCCTTACATTGATATATGCTGGCTGCTTAGGCTTAGCCAAGATCATAGTATCACTTCTTAGCATTGCAACAATATCTCCCATGGTTGGCCGATCAACTGCATTCTCTTGCACACATAACAATGCTATATTAATGCACCTCATTAACTTTGCCAAGTGAATATCAGGAAGCAATGATGCATCGAGGAGATCGATCCACTTTCCCTCTTCCCACAATTGCCATGTCTGTTTGCAATCCCATTAATAAAAATAGGTTTTATAGCAAATGAAGAAAAAAAATGCAAGTTGAAGCTCGTGTGTATACGCTTACATATCCAAGGAGATTGACGAAGCCTCCACATTGTTGGTTACCAGAATTCCGTTTTCCGCTAAGGATCTCAAAAATGACAACACCAAAGCTGAAGACATCGGATTTAATAGAGAAGACGCCCTTCGAAGCATACGCAGGGGCCATGTAACCACTAAAATTATATATGATAAATGTCATTATCTGGTTGAAATGTAATATATATAATTGTAATTGGAGTTTTTTCTATCAAACTTACTATGTGCCAACGACTCTTCTTGTAGTGTCGCCTTCAGTGTCATTTGAGCTGAATATTTTTGCTAGCCCGAAATCTGAAATTTTGGGATTCATTTCGCTGTCCAGGAGAATGTTGCTTGGTTTAAGATCTCGAAGTATGACAAGCAATCCAGAGTGCTTATGTAAGTAATGGAGTCCATGTGCTACTCCTTCAATTATTTCTAATAGTTTTGTCCAATCTAGTAAAGCTCTTTTATACTCATCTGCACATCAATTAGATAATTAGTATACGGCGAAAAGCGCCCACATAAATTAAACTACATATTCGCAGAACTGATAGAAATAACATTTTTGAGTAATATTTAGTTCTTTTGATGCAACACAACCATGGAAAATAATTAAGGTAAATTAAGGAATGCAAATGCATACCAAAGATGAAGATGTCCAGGCTTTTGTTTGGCAAGTATTCGTAGACCAATATTTTCTCCTCTTCTTGGGAGCAACATCCCAAGAACCTAACCAAATTTGTGTGCTGGAGTTTGGCTATGAGCTGGACTTCATTTTTAAACTCAGTGAAACCATGTCCTGAATGTGAAGCAAGTCTCTTAACCGCTATCTCCAACCCATCTGGAAGCTGGCCCTGAGGAAAAAATATCTACCCAAAAGTTAGGCTCTTCCCCACCTTGGCTGTAATTAGTCATCCTCTCCCGTTTAAAAGTTAGTACTATATAAGATAGCTAGATTCAATGTTGACATACTTGTTTCATACAAGAGATCATATTAGGCAGCTAGAACAGTTCTCAAGAACAAAATGTGAACCTCATAGACCTACAAATGTACCTTATAGACAGCACCAAAGCCACCTTGTCCAAGTTTGTTTTCTTCTGAAAATTTACTTGTTGCCTCCAATAGCTGTTCAAAGTGAAACAAAGAGAACTCGGAATTCTTCCCTTGCCAAACTAGGTCCTCTCTCCCTAAATTCCACTAGGTCATCAGCATAACATAATTACCACTACATTTAAAAAAAGATTATCACCACTAACCGTAAAGAACGTGAAGGAAGAACATTCCACTAGGTCATTAGCTAGCATACCTTTTCTTCGCCTTTTGAGACGACGAGAGTAACAATTGAAGAAGAGAAATGCTGCTGCCGATAGTGGAACTGCAACTACCGCAATTACCCACAACATGCTCCTGCATTTGGTCGGAGTCGTCGGCGGTGGCCGCGACGGCAGACTCAGCATGGGCTGGGTGTCGTAGAACCGATACGCCTCATACCTAAAATAGCACCGCGTGACAGCCATCTGCCCACCAATTCGCAGGGACATGGTGGAGTTGACCAAGCCGAGGAGACGGAGCAGGCACGCCGAGCAGTCGTCGGCGGACAGGTCCGGCGTGCACTGCGCCTGGGAGTACACCTTTGGGTAGGTCGTCACCTCGTCTACGTCCATGACGCCGGTGGCGTACAGCCTCGGTGGCGTGGTGGCCGCCTTCTCTGCAGTCTCCACCAGCAGCTCGCGGACGAGGCCGACGGCGAGGGGGACGTCGCCGGTGGTGACATTCTTGATGTTCCACTGCTCGAAGGGCGGCGTGTTATCGCCGTACCCTCCCGTGGTATTCGAGGGCGCCGCTAGGATATCATAGCCGGCGCTATAGACGACGATACAGTCGCCGTAGCTGGAGCGGGCCTTGTCGCACCTGGTCCGGTTCAGCGCCTTGCCGAACCAGTTGGCGATGCAGTCACCGCAGGCGGGACCATCGAGGACGTCGCCGCGGCAGAGCGCGAGCGCGAAGACGACGTTGGGGGCGCCGCCAAAGGTCTTGGTGGCAAAGTGTACCGGGGAAGAGGCGGCGTTCTTGGAGAGAGTGGTGGCGATGGCCTTGACGTTGTCACAGAACACGTCGGGTGCCGCCAGAGACGGTGTGAGTAGGAGGAGGAGCAGGATGATCGCCATGGCCGATCTATCACGAGTGCACGACTAGCTAGCTACAACATGTTTCTTGTTTCCCTTCTGCCAGATGAGATGATCCACAAATAAGTGCGCTTGTGTGTCATCAAATCACCATCGGTCACTTGGAAAAATGAACACGGAAACCTTTTTTCAGCTGATTTCGCATGGGTCAATTAATACTTACTCCCTCAAAAATCTTGTCCCTCAAATAGATGTATCTAGCACTGAGGGGCAAGATTTTTCGGACGGAGGGAGTACTTTGAAACGACCAACGCACCCATCACCATGCACTGAAAGGCACATTACTTTGGAACGATCAACGCACACTCAGACTTTTGAATGCGGGGGGCCTTATTTTTTGTTCTTCTGAATCACTAGATAATTGTCAATGCGTTACAATGGCAGCATAATTTGTACCCCTGCGATCTAAAAAACTGTCATGGCTTTAGTTCATCTTTAGTTTAAATTTAAAATGAAGCCATGACACTTTTTTGGATCGTAAGGAGTAGATTTGTATTATTTTTTTTAGTGAATTTGTGTAGGTAATCATCGTGATTACAAGCCATTTTATTGTTAATGTGATTACAAATTAAAGAAAAAAGCTTTATAGTTACGGTGGTTTTCATGCAAAACTGATGAGGAAAAACCAAAGATGGGATGAGAAAATAAAAATAGGAACTACCGATGAAAGGGTGGACGAACAAATGAGCTAGAGAGAAAACTATTTTTTAAAGTATGAGAGATTCTCTTTCTTATCATGCCGGGTAGGGAGGATAGAACCTTGGTTTTTTTTTTTTGTGTGTGTGTGTGTTTGCTAAATTTCTACTTCCTCCGTTCCTAAATATTTTTCTTTCTAGAGATTTCAACAAGTGACTACATACGGAGCAAAATGAGTGAATTTATACTCTAAAATATGTCTATATATATCCGTATGTGGTAGTCCATTTGAAATCTAAAAGGATATATATTTAGGAAGGAGGGAGTAGCTTTCACTTGAATCTGTTATCGTTCCTTTATGATTCATGCATCATGCGTAGGGTACATTTCCTTCTGTTGGAATTACTGCCATTTATTAAACAGTCAGGATGACTGGAATAGCAAGGTTAGTGGGCGGCGACATAATACCCAAGCGACGGCCGTTTACATAATGGAGAGAAAAACGAGACTTATTATTTTTGAGCACTTTTTATGCACCTCTTTATCTGACTCTCTTGTTTAATGAGTCATAACATGAACTAACAGAGGTAAGCATAACAATGTTGACTAATGTTTTGTGGGTGCTGCTATAGGGAGCTGCTATAGCGCGCCTGTTGCGAGCGCTAAGGGAGATCCCACACGTTGGGTGGACTGGCCCAGTACATTGAATCGCTGGCTCCTATAGTGTAGCGTAGGTTTGATTTGTGGAGTTTTTCCTTTTGTGATTTTAAAAAATAACCGAGAACTAAAAATGTTCATGAATATGAAAATTGTTTGTGTTTCCAAAAAATGATCATGAATTTGAAAAAAAATCATGAATTCAATAAATGTTTGTGCATTGCGAAAATTGTTTGTGAATTAAAAAATTGTTCATGGATTGAAAGAAAAAATTGCAAATTCAAAATTTGCGGATTCAACAAATGCTCATGAATTTAAATATTATTTGCGGATTAGACCAAATGTTTGTGGAATTTTAAAAATGTTAAATTTAAAATTTATCACGAAATTGAAAAGATAGTCTGTGCATTGAAGTTTTTTCGAAAATTAATATTTTTTAACATTTATTTAAAATATCGACTATTTTTTGATATTCTAAAAAAATGAAAAAATGCGAATTTTTTTTTGTTGAAACAATTTTTTAAGCACGAACAAAATTTAAAATCCTGAACATTTCTGAAGAAAAAATTTATATCCCAAAAAATACTGAAATTTATTGATATTTTTGAATTTTTTAAAAAGGAAAAATAACTAGAAAACAGGAAAAATGAGTGAAGAAAAAAAAACTTCTAGAAGATTCAATCGTCGGTCAGGAACCTTCCAAAAGCTCCTAAAACCAGTCGCGGTAGTTTGCTCGCTCGCTTCGCTTTCATTCCTAAAATGCCAGGCCCCTCTACCTACACTAGTCGGCGATTGAGTCCTTAACGCTGAGCGATACATATCAATTTTGATGTTTTGTTGTGTTTTCAGTCGATATTTTAGGCTGTTTTGTTTTTCTGTGTGTTGGACCGATTTAAAGCCTACTACCTTTTGGTTAATTTTTGTATAGTGTCATGCCATCATAAGCTATATGTATGTCAGTGGCAGCTTACATTACTAGGTAAAAGTTTATACACAGAATCTTACCAGTAGCGCTTGTTAAAATGAGACGCTACTGCTACTTAGCAGTAGCGCGTCGGCTAAAACAGCGCTACTGTTACCCGCTTAGTAGTAGCGTGGCAGTAGCAGAATGCGATACTACTATAATTGCCACACCGTTCCCGACGTGCTAGGTATAGTAATAGCGCCCTTCCAGAAACAGCGCTACTACTACGGATTTTTAGCAGCAGCGCGTTTTGTCTCCGCACGCTACTGTTAAAACTATTTTCACCTAACCCCCGCACGGCCTGGTTCCCTCTCCTCTGCTTCCTCCCCCAATTCCCCACTCTCTCTTCTCCCCCTCGTCGCCTCCGCCTCGCCGTCGTCTCGCCGCCGTCTCCCTCGACCCCGCCTTGCTGCCGTCTCCCCCGACCCCGGCTCACCGCCGTCTCCCTCGATCCCGCCTTGCTGCCATCTCCCCCGACCCCGCCTCGCCGTGCCTCGGTACCGCCGTCTCCCCCGACCCCATCTCTCTCCCCGCCCACTGTAAGAACTCTCCCCTTCCGATCCCTCTTGTTTGCTTAGTATGAACCCTAGCTATTTAGTTCTAGTTAGTACGAACCCTAGGCTATTTTTAGTGCTAGTTAGTTAATTACAATTAGTATTAACCCTATTTAATTAGGTAGTACGAACCTAGTTAAAAATGGATACTTATATGGTAATTAGGGTAGTAGTTCCTAGGTACTAATTACTCCCTCCGTTCCGATTTACTCGTCATGGTTTACGAGTAAATCGGAACGGAGGGAGTAGTTAGTAAGAACTAGGTACTAATTAGGTACTAATTTATTTTTATTTATAGTAAGTTTATTTTTAGTAAGAATTAATTGATTTAATAGAACTAGTTAGTAAGAACTTGTTGCTACTTTTTTAGTTAAAGCAATTTTTCCCGCATCGACGTGGACGATGCCTATCCCGCATCCTCGTCGTCGAGTCGGCGGAGGACGACACCTGCTTGACCAGACGGGCCATGTCCGGGACTGGACTCCGTCGGGGTGTTACTGGGAGGCGCTACCTACCGGGGGGCGCAGGTTGTGAGGAGCCACCCTGTCGTTGACCCGAACCTTCTTTGGTGGCGGTCGTGTGGGCCAATGACGATCCAGAGGCTCGAGGACCCCGCGGAGGTGGTGCGTCATCGTGTCAGTGAGGAGGACGCGCACGTCCGTCGCTACTTGTTTGCGTTGGAGTACAGGTTCTCCAATACCTGGCAGGTTCTTCAGGGATCTCACTGGAGCTATGATCCCGTGATGGTTCCTTCTCTGTGGGTGTCCACCGCCCGCGCCGATACCCGTCGTGTGCTAGGGTTTTAGTTGTATTAGTGATGTTATATGTATGACACTATTCGGGATGTATTAGTGATAATATTCGACGATGTACGGACGCATGAGATGATTTACTTTTGCTTATTGAATGCATGCTAATTTGAGTCCTATAAGATATTTTGAAATGTATATCTTGTGTTGCTCAAATAGGATATGTGCTTGCCCAAGTGACCGATCATGTTTGCAGGTTACACCTTCGAGTGGCCTATGTTTTGCCAGAGTGTTGATTCATTTCCGCTCCGGCAAATTTCAGGCGCTCGATATGTCCTATTTTAGCAAAGGTCATGCCGAATTTTTTCGTGAATTTTGGCATGACTTGTGCCAGGATATGTAGGAAATATCGAGTGCCCTGGATTTGTGTGTTGAGTATCCTGGTAGTTGTCTTCGATCGATTTTCAATTAATGTTTCAACTATGAACATAGGAAATGTCTGACGACGAAAAGGATTTCGGTACTTGCAAATACTGCAAAGACGAGCGCGTCCTGTGCGACGGAATCTTCCTAGATGATGATAGGCGCTTCAGCATCAAGCTGGATGAGAACTTCGAAGTAGATACAGTAAGTCACAACGACAAGTTTTTTTTTCGTAATTAAGCATGACATATGCTTCATTTGCTTGAACTTATAATTTATTTATTTTTACTATTCTACTAGCGTATCCCCTACCATGCAAGAGTTTTTGTATTGGATAAGATAGGTTTCAGTCGTACTATGGAGGTAAAGAAAGTTTACTTGAAGACCAAGCATGGTTATATTTTTAACATAAAATTATACAATTCAGATGACTACACCTATTTTGGATGCAAAACATGGCGAGCACTATGCAAGACTTATGCATTTGAGCCTGATATGGTTATCACCTTTGATATTCGTCCGGAAGATGATATTGAAGGTAATACCGACATCTGGGTCGATGTGCAGACGCCTCCAGTTATACCATTATGTAAGTTTCTCAATCATATTTATGTCTTTGATATTGTTTATTCAAAAATAGTTGACAACTAATTTGTATTGTCAGCTTATTTCGGTGCAAGCAAACATGTTCAGCGCTTGGTAGACAGGACCGTATACTGTGCCGGGGCTGAGCTCAACTGCGAGGAGCTCAGTCACTATGTTTCATGGCTTGATGATCTTGATACTATCAAGACAAATTTTCTTCCTGCATTTAGAAATGTTAGTACTGAAAACGTGCGACCAATAGTGTTCGTAATGAACTACAGTCACATCTATTTAGGAAGGATGGTAAGATTTTTATCATTTGTCCTCAGTGCATCTTTTCCATACATTATTTTTGAAGCTAAACTTCATTGCTAAGTATGTTACCATACGATGTTCTTCAACAGGGACTCCCGA